GATCTGACCGTAGTAACTACCGGTTTGGTGATTTAAGATTTTCCTGCCAGTTCGGTGATTTACAATTTACTGCGCGCGCATGTGAATCGTCGTCAGTTTGCTGCCTGGACAGCTGAGCAGCGCGGGTGCACAGCAGTTGAAAAAGCACCTTTTTACTGCTTTTTCAACCACAGCTGTGCTGCGCAAAGCACCTGAGGTTGAAAAAGTAGGAAATAAAGGTCAGGTAAGGGCCCAGGCGGGCAGGCGGGCGGGTGGGTGGGCCAAAACAACAGCAGACATAGAACTGGTTCTATATCTGCTGCTCTTCAGAGCTACCGGTTCTACAGAGCCAGACAGAACGGTAGAATCCCACCCCTGGCAAAACAGTACATCATAGCAGGGGTGGGATTCAAATTTTTAACAACCGGTTCTGTGGGCGTGGCTTAGGTGGTGGGCATGGCTTGGTGGTCATGTGACTGGGTGGACATGGCTTGGTGGTCATGTTATTGGCTGGGTGTGGTCAACTCAATATTACTCACATCGAGGCACGCATCTCTTCGCCTGGCCTCTCGTGACTGTGGAGATGCTGCAACAGTCGTAAGTGTGAAAAATGGTCATAAGTCACTTTTTTCAGTGCCATTGTAACTTTGAATGGTCACTCCATACAAGCAAAGTGCCAGCAAAGGAGGGGAAAAAACCTCCAAAGACGTTCTTGAGACAGGAAGTCTAGTCCTGCCAAGAATGTAATAAGGGTTAATGAAGAGGCAGTTTCTGTAAGCAACACTAGAATGTTTCCTTCCTGCCTTCCTTACAGGATTAGGCCAGTAATTTCTTCTAACAACCGAACTGCTTAGAATGTTAACAACCGGTTCTAGCAAATAGGTGCGAACTGGTAGAATCCCACCCCTGCATCATAGGGAAACAGAGTTTGAACAATGATATCTCAAAAGAGTTAACTTACAAAAAGCATCCAAAATCTGGGATCTACAACTTCTGTGGAATAGAAACTTGGCAAATTTGTGATTCCTTCATTGCTGCCAATGTTGTCACATCATTACCCAGACGTTCAGTAGACTGGCCTGCCCTAGTCCTCCTGCTCCTGCTCTTTAATCCATTGGAGATCAAATAGACTGGTCTTGTCCTAACTCTCCAGAGGGCTCTAGGGATTGTAGACCAGGAGTGTCAAACTCGATTTCATTGAGGGCCGCACCAGGGTTGTGTTTGACCTTGGGGGGGTGGGGTGGGGGTGGGGCATGATAAGCTTGATGTCACTCATGTGGGGGAGCACCTGTGGTGGCCAAGTACTAAGGTACATCACAAGTACATCACTCACTCTCATTATAATCTTCCTTCCTTCCCTCCTCTTCTTTCTCCTTCTCTCTTTCTGCTTTCTTCTTACTTCCTTGCTCACCTCCCTTCTTTTTCTTTCCCTTTCCTCTTTCCCTTTCTCCTTTCCTGTCCCTTTCTTGCATGCTCAAAGGTAAAAGGGGAAATATTTCTCCTTTTGTTTTTAGTTTGTTTTGCAGCCCTCTGTCAGCAAAAATGGAGCTCAAGGGGGGGCTTTGTGTGGCCCCCACGGGCCCAGTTTTGGATGCGACAGCCTCCTGCAGCCCTCTCCCAGCAAAAAGGAGCTCAGAGGGACCGCCCTGAGCTCTGTTTTTGCTGGCAGAGGGCTACAAGAAGCCGTCATGGCCAAAAATGGAACCCAGGAGGGCCGCGCCCAGGCCTTCCGAGATCCATTTTCACTGACAGAAGCACTGGGGGCCAGTCCTTTGCTGTTTCCAGGGAGGCCCCCTGGGCCAGATCTAAGCCTAAGTTTGACACCCTTGCTGTAGACCAATCCTAACTTTGGCTGTCAAAAGGCAGTCAAGGCAGCAGGAAATCAAAAGTTGCTCCTGCTCCCACTGCTTTTTTGCCCTTGGTCAGACTGTTTCTCAGTTTAAGTAAGGGAATAGTTCTGAAACAATGACCCAATGGGTCACAGGTTTTCTAATCCCTTTTGGAAGTAGGGTTATTGACTCTCCTCAATCACCTGGTACTTCTTCCACGTTTTCTCAAAGCAAAAACAAAAAAGATTTGACTATATTATCTTCCTCAGTCCCCCAAGATAAAATTAATCTCCTCAGGAGATTTAAACTTTTTTAAAGTCAGTAATAATCTCTGACCATGTTTCCAATAGAGTTGACCTGGAATATTGCCCCTTCAGTCAGACAAATCACATCTCTTCTTTCTAACTGAGCCAGAAGAGGAATTTAATAGTTCTCCCTCCCCCCCCTTCTCTTTTTTTATATCATGTATGTGTGAATTTGGCTTACATCCAATTTGTAAGGAAGAGACTAATGGATTGGTGATTTTGCTCTTGAAAAGGATCTCCCACTAGGAGAGTTGTAAGAGGATCACCACCAATCTCTAATGCCCAGTATGGATTAAACAGTATTTCCCTTGATTTTTTAACACTGTGCTATCACATTAGAAAATCAGAGTGAGGGAGAAATGCAGACAACAAAGACTACACAGAAGGCAGCTCAGCTGGATTCTTCCTCTCCTAGGGCCATTGGTAGCAACTGCTATCTCTGAAGATGCCATAACATTCATTTGTTTTTAAGTAGTATTTATTGTATTCTGATGTATAATTGTTTGTACAAGCTGTCCCTGACTGTAAGCTGTTTGGGGAGGATTGTTGCAACCACAATAGCAGAAATAATAATGGGGAGTTGCTTACTGTCCAACCCATGACACTTTTTGCTACAGATTGTATACAGGAATGGGGAAGAGGGGGGTCTCTTCAATTTTGTTTCTCCTTTTTCTAACTCTAATTTGTTTTTATATACTTTATCTTAAGTTTGTGTTTTAGCAAAAAATGTACATATTGTTCCGAGATACATTACAGACTAGTACTCTTTCAATCAGAAGACACTTAAGAAATATAGGAATGACAGTCTTTCAAATGACAAGAGTACTAGACATACAGTATAATATTTTAATATGTTAGTTGTATTTCTTGCACATAAACAGTCCAGCTTTACTGCAGTTTTAACTTCATATTTTCATTAAAGTGAAAACCATATATAATGCATATAAAGTTGAAAATCTTGCATGCCTCTAAAAGAGTAAACAAATAAACAGGAAATAAATAATCTCATAGTTAAACAATCACTAGGCATTTTATATAACAGAAATGAGGGAGACTACAGATAATAGTTAATGTATGCCATCATTTCCATTACAGGTTCAAATATCAATTATTATTTTAAGATGAAAGCCTGCCAGGCTAGCTTTCAAGCTAAAAATGCATTTAGTTTTATATTTTCTGGACATAAATGCTTACTACAGCTAATGTTAATGAGGATTTAAAATGAAATGATAAAAAATGTGGTTGGATATTTAGAAAGCTTTTCAACAAAAATAGACATTAAGTATTTCAGAAATAAATTGTGGATAATCTCTGGGAACACTGGGGTCATATGTGAAATTTAGGAACATTTTGTTGAATGATGATGCTTCTTTATAAGACAGATATTCTGTCAGGATCATGACATACTTATATAAAGAAAAGGCCAACTCAAAGCTGACATAAATATTTGTTCCAATAGAGATTATAATATTGCACATATACATTTAAAGGGAAGCAAGATTAAGTAGGCAATGTTAGCTACCAAGAAGAGGATTATATACTAATTTGCAGCTGGAAGTAAATGTGAGTATCACACTCAGAAGTGATTGGCTTGTTTGTTTTAAAGAAGGAACAAGACCAGAGGGCAGAATAGAGGATGAGAATCTCATAAAAGGAATGATTAAATTTTGAAGTACTTTTTCAGCCCTGGAGCCATTTTCCTTGGTGTCTCCAGGGCTGCCACAGCAGTGGCTGGGTGAGCTGGGGAAACAGGATGGGGAGAGGTAGAGAAAGTGAGGGCTTTGTAACCAAAATAAAATTCTTTCCTCTGTGAACCAAGGATGTTCCCACCAGGTGTGAAGAGGTGGGCTGTGAGTCCAGATGAACTTTGGACTACAGCCTGATTGGGCTATGTGATGGTCTGATGAAGCAGGAAGAGGGAAAATGTTTTTTTTTACTAGAGGGAAACCCGAGGGACTTTAGATTCGGGTTTCCCCAGGTGTGCCAATGTGACATGCCTAATAAGTCTGTACTTTGAGGAATATGCTTGCCTAGGAGTTTTTATTCTGTTGGGGAAGTTACTTGGAATCCTGACATACATCTTATGATTATGTGTGGTGTACTGTCTAAATTAATGGACTATTAAATAAGGAATCCTGCTTTAATTCTAGCGTCTGCCATTAACTCAGTAGGTTAGAGCTCTGTCAGTCAATTTCAGGTCCCTCATCTACAACTCACCTTACATGGCTGGGCAAGGACTATGGAGCGAACATATGTGAAGCATCTGTGACATCTACAAAGGCCTAAATTAAAAGTGGGACTAAGTTCAAACATGGAAAAAAGGAAAAAACAAAGCACGGAGTTGTAAGGATTCCAGTAAAAAAAAAATCCACTTCTAAATATTTTCTAGTCACATTTGAAGTTAATGTAATACATACTTCCATGACCAGTTTCTAATCCCTGGAAAATTTAGGACAAGAGAAAATATGTGCTTTAGGGTGGCAAGTCAATAGAAAAAAAGAAAGAAAAGGCACCAGATAAAAGGAAATGAGAAACTATAAAGGGACCACAGATGAAACATGTCTAAATCAAGGTCATAACAACTTGAGGTTCTTGTATAATAAATACTGAGTTTAGTTTTAAATCATTTCCAAAGATCTGAATAAAGTTCTGTGGTTTGTAACTCACTCTTTTGTTCATTTTTACACTACCATAGCTGTGAAGCATGAAAACAGATTGCAAATACCTTAACAACCTCAAACAATAACAGACTTTCATAAATAGCAAGCAAGATTAAAGCAAAACCCATCCAGCAAGAACGCTCAAACCTTACCTTTGAGTCATAATCTTATAAGCATCTGGCAGATAACAGCGGATATTCTCCATCTGAGCAGGATCTGAGTCACAGATTTTATCATCTGTCCTGCCATAGTTGGCACTTTCAATCATGATAACATCTGTTCCTGGGCAACGGAGCTCTATTGGGTAGCTTTCACAAGAGAGTTCCCTCCGGACCACTGCCATAGGAACAGGAGCACGACTAAAAGCTGTGGAAATAAGAGAGATGCTTAGTAGATACCAAAGCATCTAAAACAAAAATATTCCCCATAGTTTATAGAAGTGTCAAATCAAATGATTTGTAGCCTTTCAAACCTATCACATGAACCTAAGCACATGAAGAGTGTCTTCCACTCACCCATGAATAACTGGAGAAATTTATTTATGTAACAGGCAAGAATTTAGAAGCACGGTAGGACTGTGCAGTGCTTCAATGTACATAGGAATTCAAATACAGCAAATGACATTATTCTAGTAATCTTATGTACTCCAAAGCAACTTTTCAGAACTGAATCCGAAGCACTGCACATCCCTAACTCTAAAGATGGTTTTTTTGTTTATCACAACTAAGCCCACAACCCTTTGTTTTTCAAAATATTAATAAAAAATATTCTCCTCAGTCCCCATCATTCATCCCCTTTTGATAGCTATTATTTATTTATATATTATTTATGTTTTCCTTTTGTTGCTGTCTTCATCACAAGATTCCAATTTTTCTGACAGTTACAATTTTTGGAAAAGTGGCTTTTTTTGCATCCAAAATGAAGACAATATAATATAATACATGTTAATTAATGTTCACTTCATTTAGAAACTTGATGGATCAAGCCAAACGATCACCAGTCCAGTATTCTGTTTCTCAAATAGCTGGTGAGATGCTTGCAAAAAACTGAGATGACGAGGGCAATTAAACTCCCTCTGCATTTCTAAACAGCTCACATTATAAGGTGTATCCATAATATAAAGTTAACATAACATTGATATTGAACACATATTGTACTTCTGTATCCATACTGAATCTTAATTTTTTCTTATTATTATGAATGGGCTAGGAGAGTAACAAAAATGAAATAAGATAAATCCCCTAAAGACTAGATCCCCTAATAAAACCAGGAATAACCTAAGAATATTCCCGCCAGAGCAGGGTTCTAAAAAACATGAAAATACTTGGAGATGAGGGAGACTTGTAAGGAAAGTGTCTATTTTTAGGATCAGTGGTGCTTGAAACAGACAATTTGTTGCAGAGAATTGATATTGGACTTATAAACCTCATGAAAATAGAACTCTTCATCAGTTTTGACATTTCCACCTCAGTGGTCCTTGCCTGATTATGATGATGATCAATGATCCACATACAAACATATAAAATCATAGTAATTGGAGATACAATGTTTGATAGCATGTTCCAAGCACAGCAATACAGAATTTAGCTCCATTACTAATAACGGTAGCATTGGAACCTGAAACCAGGAGTTTTATTTAATCAAAGTTTGTTTTTCTACAATACTGTTACAGGTAGGGAATTCCATATGTGCCTGCCAGGATTGCTTTTAGATTAAGAGTAGGCAGTGACCTAGGCTGCTTAGGGAGCACTAACACACACACCGCTTCAAAATCATTCTAAATGCAAGTGTTCAGATTGATGGGCACCATCAATCACCAAGCTCTATGGGCATCATATATTCTTAAGCTGGCACGGTGCCCTTAGAAATTGCAGTACAGCAGTACATGGACAATTGCTTTGATATCTTCTCAACCACAAGGGCAAACCTGTTCAGATAAAAGGGATTGGCATATCTATTCAGTACGAGTGTTGAATATAATGTATTAATCTTTCCTCAGCCCAGGGAATGTGAGAGATGTTTAATATTTGGCCAGCAACCAAAGTGTCCTTGACATCCAGCTCTACTGTCTGGGGCATCTTAATGACCTCTATAACATCTATCCATTATGAGAGTACATGCCTGGTTTTTTCATAATTCAGAGTAAGAAGCCTTACTCAGACTTTATAGCACCCCTCCAGGTAAGAAAATAGTCCTCCATGAATAATAAGGCTAATAGACCATTGGAGAATAATTAATCTTCATGCTCCAGGCCTTCAGCTCTATTATATGCATCCGTACCTCAAGTCTAAGAGTGGCAAGGGATACATCTTCTAGGGGCAGCAAGAATGGCTCTTAAAAAATTGGTTTGTAGCACTTTCATGGCATTCTTCATTGCATAGATTCCCATCTGAGTAATGAATAATATCAGAACTGGTGTTTTGGCTTTATAAGGTTTAAGAATAGAATAGAATAGAATAGAATAGAATAGAATAGAATAGAATAG